GCTGTCACTCTGATACAAATTTTATTCATGGAGAAAATTACAAAGCACTGCAGTGTTAGTGTGTTCTGTGTTTGTCTGTAATAACTAGTCTGACCGGTGTTTCGTAAGTTGTAGGTTGCTAGGCGACCATGAACTGTTTTCTCAAAGGATGACAAGCTGATAAAACATTGCTGTGACTCTGATACAAATTTTATTCATGAAGAAAATTACAAAGCACTGCAGTGTTTGTGTGTTTTGTGTTTGTCTGTGATAATTAGTCTGACCGGTGTTTCGTAAGTTGTGGGTTGCTAGGCAACCATAAACCGTTTTCTCAGAGGATGACAAGCTGATAAAACATTGCTGTCACTCTGATACAAATTTTATTCATGAAGAAAATTACAAAGCACTGCAGTGCTTGTGTGTTCTGTGTTTGTCTGTGATAATTAGTCTGACCGAAATGTGAATATTCCATACAAGCAGAAGCTGATCGGTCAATTCTTGTCACGTGATTTAATTCTTGTCATATTCACTGGCGCGAATGCATCACGCCACCTGGAACACCTCCATTGGAAAAAAACAAACCTGTGCGTACTCTAGAAATACGCAAGTAAAAACATTACCTCCAGTAAGTTACAATGACATATTCACAACAAAAATATTTTGAATCAAATTAGGTTTTTGTAAATTGATCAAATGTATGTGTTGCCAAATGGCAACACTGTCCAATAATGGGACGTGCAATATTGCAATGGGTTAGCTACTGTAGCTAGCAAGGTCAGCTGTGAACTTTTAAGTTGTAACAATAACAACATGAAAGCTAGTAATATAAAGTTGATTACTTGTATGTTAATGACATTTGCATTATGGATAAAATCTAGTTTTAATGGCAACAGTGTATTAGCGAGCATCACCATGTTCTATGGTAAGTGAAAAAAAAAAGGACAGAACTGGCTCTTCCTGCAGATGAAAGTGAGGATGAGATGGGTTTTAGTGACCATGATAATGATGCAGATTAGACATTTGATAGAGGCAGATCAGGGTAATTAGCTCAGAGGTAGATAATAAAGGTGTAGTATATTATATAGTATACTATATAAACACTGTTAGCTAGTAGCTACATTATTCTGATGTATCTGGATATACTAGACTTGTTATTTTTTGTTATAATATTTACTGGAGAGAATATTTATATGTACTGTATGTTGTATCCATGATAATACAATATTAGGTTTGTTTTTTAATAATATTCAGCAAAAATAACATAGAATAAATGAAAGCTGTTGGAATATGAGTTGTTGGAAAGCATGTATAAGGTGTCATTTATAAGTTCCATGTTAAAGCTTATAATACTGCAACACCAATTAAATCATTTTAAAAACAAAATTATTAATTATAAGGAAAGTTTTAAATTTGAAATTTCTAAGTTTCTAAATTTTTCCAATTTTTTTTTTTTACAGCACTTTATGTTAGGCCATTTTAAGAAAAGAAAAAGAGTCAAATATTTTTTTAATAGATTTATCATAATGCGTGCGTTAGATTGTTAATTATATTTACCTTTCTTTTTTTGTTCTGTTCTGTTTTGTTTTGTTTTGTTTTTTTAGAATTTTCGTAAACTTAAAGGCAAATGACTTTTGTTTTATTTAACATTTTAGATGTTTTCACTTTGGCTACAATCTGACAATTGTTGTTTATAAAAAGAGACCACGATTTAATTTATACACCAAAGCCTTGAATATTGCCAATTAATGCCAAGTTCAGACTGCACAATTTTCAAAGTAGTCGTGAAAACACAGATGTTTTCACACTGCATGACTATCTGGGCTTTGTTTACACTGCAAGATGGATTGGCGTCAGGGGGTTTCACACCGCATGATTTTACTATACACTCAAAAAAAAGGTACATGGTGGTAAAAATTATTTTCCTTAAGGAACAGTTTTGTACCTTTGTAAAAGTTGTACCTTATATGGTACAGAAAAGACCTCTTATGATACTGTTCCGTACCTTTTATGGTACAACTGAAATGAAGGTGCACAATTGTTCTGATATAAAAGGTACAAAAGTGTTGAACAACTTCTTTATTGAAAATATATGCATATAAATATTACTGGAAAGGCAAAGTGATTTTATGAATAATGTCCATATTAAAACATGAATCATTATTTAAAAGTATACAGTCTGTTTAAGGATACTCACAAATGCTAATTATTAAATTAATTAATGCATTAATACAAAACAACAGGTAGCAAAACTACAGGTATTGTAAGCTAAACATTTACAGCATTTTTATGTTTGCCAAGCATTTTTGACACTGTTAAGGGAACAAAGTGTCTTGTCACGGTAGTGGTACCTTTATGGATCAGATGTGTACCTTTGGTTTTTAAAATCGGCAGAAACAATATTGTACCTTCATCAAAGGTACATTTTGGTTTCCTATGGTACAAATCATGTCCTTAAAGGTACAAACTGCAATGGTACAAATTTGTTTGTTTGTTTGTTTAAGGTACAATTCTGTCCCAGTGACAAGGGTTTGTATCTTCTTTGGTACAACATGGTAACATTTTTCCTGAGAGTGTAGGAAGAATCACCAACAACTTTGTCTCGGTCTGCAAAGTCTCACAACCAAACACACGCGAGAAGTGACATGGAAACAATGCGGTGACATAGTATATCATTTGTTATTAAATAAAGAAAGAAGCCTTTAGTGGGGTAGAACATGTACTTTTTTTGGTGGATTTTGAAGGGAATTAGCACCCTAGTAGCAAAGAATTCTGGCCCAGATTTGGCATAAAGCTGGCACAGCCGGCATTCATCCGGCACTGGCATACAGCATGTGGGCCAAACATGGCCCGGGTTTGGCAGAGGTGGCACCGTCTTTAAGGCGGCACACAAGATTTGGGCCAGATGAAAAACGCAGTATTTGGCCCAGATTTAAAACTTTGATAAGTGGGCCATGTGAGTTTGGCCAGTTTTGACCCACATTTAAAATACACTAAAATATTTTTTTAATAAAGAAAAAAAATTCTACCAATCAGGTCACTTTGAGAAAAAGCACGCTCATAGTGTGCCTAAAGCGCATCACTCCATGGGTTTATCAATTTCATTGCAATCGTGACACACCAACCTATCTGGCCCAGTTCAGGCCCAGTTATGAGTTATTAACTTGGCTGAGACTTGGCCCAGATATGGTCCGTGTTTGGCCCTTGTCTGGAAGCCAGATTTGGTCCAGTCATGTACCGTAATTCACTGCGGCATGTGGGCCAAGCAAAACCTGATTTTTGGCCAGAGAAATTTTGCTATGTGGCCAATTTCTCCCCAACTTTTTTCTTCTTTGACCCGGTTGTGATAATGCTCAGATGACACTTCAACTGACAAAGGTCCTCCTGCCAAATTTGCACTAGTTTTTCCTTCATTTCTTGGGTCAAAAAAGACTGAGAAGAAGCGTTTTTTTTAGCATGCCAAATATTTCCCGGGTGTCGACGACTCACAGGCAATTCTCTTAGATGGCGTCTTTGATAGTTCGCACTGTATAATTGTTACTCGTGTAAATGAGCATCGATTTGCCTGTGATTTTAAACATTTGTCGCCGTTTTCGAGGTTAAAATCATGCAGTCTGAACTAGGGCTGTGCAATTAATTCGAAAATCCGGTTACGATTTCGAGTTTGTCTTCTAACCATTATAAAAAATCATTAATCAAATAAACGATTATTCCACCGCCCACTTTCCAGCTGTACACATTTGTTGCTCTGCAAAGCTCAGTTTCACGTGAAAATGACTAAAAGCATGTACTGTAATGTAACGTCTTCAGCAGGGGATGAGCATCATTCATTGATGTAGGCACTACATTAGAGTCATTTATATTTTCAAAAGCGTGAAAGAGCACATACGTGTTTGTGTGTGTGTGCGCCACGTGAAGAACGTGAAAAACGTTTTTAAAAAATGCATATTTGTGTCAGAGTGCGGTGTTTAGGGATTATTTATATTAACCCTCATTTGTGTAATAAACAAACAAGTTGAGAATCTAAAGACATGTGAAAGAGAAACCATATCAGAGCCGCACTATTCTTAAAGTGACAGTGCGCAATATCCTTGCTGCTGTCTGTTTTTATTATTAATCAAACAACAAAAGGAGAAAATCCCTCACTGCTCTTGACTAAAGGACTTTTGTAGCTGAAGTTTATTTTTCTTACAGGGCAGATGCTTAAAGCACAGTTTAAACATAACAGATTTAATAACTCATTTCTAATAACTGATTTCTTTTATCTTTGCTATGATGACAGTACATTATATCTTACTAGATATTTTTCAAGATACTAGTATGTAGCTTAAAGTGACATTCAAAGTTCATAATTCGTGTAATTAGACAAGTCATTGTATAACAGTGGTTTCTTCTGCAATCAAAAATATATATTGCTTAAAGAGCTAATAATATTGACCTATTAAAAATGGTTTCAAAATATTTAAACCTGCTTTTATTTTAGCCCAAATAAAACAAATAAGCCTTTCTCCAGAAAAAAAAAATATTGTAGGAAACACTGTGAAAAATTCCTCCGTTAAACATCATTTGGGAAATATTTATTTATTAAACAAAATTAACAGAAGGGCAAATAATTTTGACTTCAACTGATAATCGTTTTGAATAATCGTAATTACAATTACGACCAAAATAATTGTGATTATGATTTTTCCCATAATCGAGCAGCCCTAGTCTGAACTTGGCATTAGTTGAACATGCCATTTTCAATTCTATTTTAAAAAAGCTGAACTGACAGGTTTTGAGTAAATAAAAGTTAAAGAAAATTAACAAAGCACAAATTTACATTTAATCAATTTTACGAAATGTCCCAACTTTTATTTGGAATTGTGGTCGTATACGGTTTCTTTTGTCATTTTTATTTAACTCTTGAGCTTCAAAACTCTGTTCTAATCTAGCTAAGAAAAGATGAAGTTAAAGTAGATAGAGACGTAGTTGTGAATACACCACAAGAGCTGCACAGGGAAGGAATTACCAATTCATTTTACCTGCAAGATACTCCATGATTGATAGCAGCAAAAACTGTTTCCATAGTAACGTCATCTTCAGCTGCCAGGGGCGAGTGTTACTTGAATCCAGTGCGCCGTGAATGAACGGCTCCTCTCTCTCTCGAGAAAAAACACCTGACCTGTTGAGGAGCAAATCAGATGAGAAATTAGAAATGCTTCGTTACAGGCAGACCAGTCTATTTTTCTCAATTACCTCCGAAAAACGTGCTCTTTTATGCAAGAAACTGGCATGAGGTAATGAGCAGTGGCTGCTGTGTGATTATTACACACATTATGGGCTAAAATTATTACACCATTAATGCAGTTAATGTTGCTTAAAAGATCACAAGTGAGAAGATCGCTTGGATTCAGAAGCACAAAACAAACACTCTTTATGTGATGCAAATTGATATTGATCTGCTACATTGCATTTATGTAAATTGTGCAGTGGAGAAACTACAGTGGATTTTGACAATAAAAATAAAAAAAACAAGAACAAATAAAATGTTTTAAGGAAAATTCAATTTGCAGTGTGTTAATAAAATGTCTCACTATTATAGATATAGATTTTCTGTATGTACAGTTACGTCAGAATTATAAGCCCCTCTTTTATTTTTTTATTTTTCCTTTTTAAATATTTCCCAAATTATGTTTAACAAAGCAAGGAAGTTTTCACAGTATCATTAATTCATTCATTAATTTTCTTGTCGGCTTAGTCCCTTTATTAATCCAGGGTCGTCACAGCGGAATGAACCACCAACTTATCCAGCAAGTTTTTACGCAGCGGATGTCCTTCCAGCCGCAACCCATCTCTGGGAAACATCTACACACACATTCACACGTACACTATGCACAATTTAGCCAACCCAATTCACCTGTACCACATGTCTTTGAACTGTGGGCAAAACCGGAGCACCCGGAGGAAACCCACGCGAACGCAGGGAGAACATGCAAACTCCACAAAGAAACGTCAACTGAGCCGAGGCTCGAACCAGCAACCCAGTGACCTTCTTGCTGTGAGGCGACAGCACTACCTACTCCGCCACTGCTTCGCACCGTTTTCACAGTATGTCTGATAATATTTTTTTCTTCTGGAGAAAGTCTTATTTGTTTTATTTTGGCTAGAATAAAAGCAGTTCTTAATAAAAAAAATAAATAATAAAATTTAAGGTCAATATTATTAGCCCCTTTAAGCTATATTTTTATTCAATAGTCTACAGAACAAACCATCGCTATACAGTAACTTGTCTAATTACCCTAACCTGCCTAGTTAACCTAATTAACCTAGTTAAGTATTTTTATTAATTTAATTAATATTAATTAATATTACTGACTAATATGAGAATGTTCATATGATTTACTTACAATACAGTTTGTAAAGTAATCATTTCTGTCTTTTAGTAGATGAAGTAGTATGGTAGTTAAAGAATGATATATGGTAGATATGTTAGCTCTTTACAACTCTCACATGGTTGCACACTGAAGCTACATAGACACCCCTTAAGTACCTGGATTGGAGACCATATGGGAAAGCTAGGCTGCTGCCGGAAATGGTGTTAGTAAGGCCAGCAGGGGGCGCTCAACCTGCGGTCTGTGCAGGTCCTAACTCCCCAGTATATTGATGGGGACTCTACACTGCTCTTTTAAAATTCCTAGTTTGTCCTACGAAAAATAGTAGGGGTTTAACCCCGGACAATCCTGGCCAAATTTGGCCACTGGCCTCTGTCCATCATGAATTTGAAACCATCCCCATATTATAACTGGCTTCACTCTGTCTCTTCTCCACCAATCAGCTGGTATGTGGTGTGCAGTCTGGCGCAATATGGCTGTCGTCGCATCATCCAGATGGATGCTGCAGACTAATGGTGGATGAGGAGATCCCCCCCACTATGTAAAGCCCTTTGACTGTCTAGAAAAGTGCTATATAAATTTAAGGAGTTATTATTATTTATTATATGAGAGGCTTGCTTTGTTTACCAAATAAGTGGATCTAGATGGATTTGCATTGTAAATATTAAATAAAAGATAAAAATGTATTACCTTTCATTTAACATATTAACTTATTAGTTACGATACACCCAAAATCATTCAGCATAAATCTGCAGATTTTTTACAATGATCTGCGAAGAACTAGCAAAAAATGTTAGCAGATTCTGTCTGGCCCTAGGTATGGGTTTTAGTAAATATATTTTATTATATAGAGGTTTTAGATATCATTTTAACATTTTGCATATCTTCTGTCAAAAAATAAGAAAATGTCACTATTAAAAATTAACAACACCAAAAAAATAAAAAAAAAACAGACCATTTATAATGCCACATTACATGCTAAAATAATCAAATAAGACTTGTTTGCCTTTTTTTTGTAAGGCATACAGAGTTCCTATGCAATCAAAAATGACTTATGCTGCTTATTCATACTACTTATTTAAAATGAGTTAAAACAACAAAAGTTAATTGTCATGTGAACTGTATTTTACTATAGGATATATATGCAATATGTTACGTAACTGTATTGTAAAGTGTATTGTGAAAATTGCTGTATATTTTATAGTAAATATAAGCAATATTGTAGCAATACATATAAATCAAGATAAAAGGCTTTAAATGTAAATACAGTATTTCTGCTGTAATTGATTTACAGTAAGTTACTGTAGATTCTATGAGAAATTATTAACATTGTTGTTTTGGGGACAGTTTAGTTGTTTTATGTTGAATTCTCTTACGTTTGTAAAACCATTCAGTTAACTTAATCAATTTGTGTTGGGAAAACATGAAGGAATTGTGTGGAACCTATTTGTTTTTATTTACAGTGTTGTTAGGGTACTTATACAGTGTGAATTGATGACTGTGTTCATCATACTGTAACTATTTACAGCAAGGAAAATATGTTTTGAAAACATCACCATTTTTCTCAGAAAACATATATCTAAAGGTGTCGTTGACTTGAAACTTTCTTCAGATGTTGGTAACAACCAAAGAAATCCATAATGTATATGCAAAGAATATAAATTTAATTAGCATGAAAATAAATTTAATATAGTATTCAATGTATGAAGAAAGGGAGGTGTAGAATGACAGTGAAAGCTCAGACAGCAGCTGAAATCTCTCAGTAGTTCTTCAGCAACCCACTGCCCTTTATCATTATAAATGAATATACGCTGCTTCAGTCCAACATCTACATTATCATTATGACATTATGATACATTATGATACATTATGATGATGACGTAGATGAAACCAGGGTGGACATTTCAGCAAGAAAAACACAGCCAAGGAAACTCTCAAATGCTTTCAGACAAAGAAAACCAAGCTGAAAATGGCCCAGCCAATCACCTGACTTAAATCCAATTGTCATGGGATGGACGCTGTCGACAAAGTAGAGGATCCATATGTAGTTTATTATGAGAATGGACAGGCAGCAATGAATCAAAACAAACAGATGAAGCAAAGTGTCAAAACACAGCTTGGCTAAACAAGCAAAATCGTGCGGTAACACTCACAGATAAACAAGACTCAGCAAAGATGTGTGTGTATATGTGTGTGTGCACTGTGTTTAAAGCCCATGTAATCAATCTGTAACAAACTGATGTGTGCTGGAAGTTGTAGTTTGTATATGTGGAGGATTTGTAGTTCTCCATTAATCTGCAGTATAGAATACAAAATAAAGATCAGGTTTGTTAGATGAGACACAGAACCTTCAAGATTTTTACACTCTGTTGAAGACTGAAAAAAAAAATCACACCTGAGCAATGGATGTGACTTCATTCGCCACATGAGAGTCATCTTTAAGCTGCCACAACCAAAAATCCTTTTATATAAAAGCATTAAATAAATCAATAGCAATAAGCAATAAAATTTCAGTATACTTACTCCTTGTGTCATTCCAATATTAATACACTTGCAGTAACTAACCTTCAGATTTTTTTGTTTTGTTTTATTTTTATGATTGTATTGTTTTGGTTTCATGTCAACAGCTCTTATAAATGTTATTCCGAGGAAAAACATGATATGCTTAATACTTATTTCCCCCCGTGTCTATTAGTAAAAAAAAAAAAAAGTTAAGATATCTAATTTTAATCTTCAGATTTTACTTGAGTTATAAATGTTGAGTTCAGTAATTAGTTTTTTCTGTTATTACAAGAGAGACAAGTTACACCAAAACAGCTTGTTAAGCCCAGAGCATTAACACAACAATCTGTGTTTTACCCTATTGGAAAACATGCAGTTAATCTTTTTTCTTTCCTATTCTGGCTCATTTACTTGCTTTAAATATCATCAATATTTCATGTTGTGTAGTGAAATTGTTATCTTTAGTGAAGTGTTTTTACATTGCACACTCCTGGCTGTAAATTTAAAGTATTACTTTAGAAAAAGTTACTGAGGCATCAAAAACAGCTTGTATGAACTAAAACAAATGATTGAATTTTAACATACAGATAATATTTACAGTATGCCAGCATGGAAACCTTTTATTCTCCATAAGCAGAATTCAAGCTGCGTTTATAAGAAGAGAGCTATATAGATTCACACATACAATGTTGGTAAGTGTGCTTGTCCATCCAAAACATTAAACTAATTAGCCACTGATTAAGCACAACTACAGGTTTGATAAACAATAGGTTAATAATGATTAACAGACATTTTAAACACACTGTCAGAATTTTTTTGTCTGCTCCTCTCAAGTAAACACTTCCACTGCTGCCTCTCCAAATACACATACATGAATGAAATTAATGAATGTTTGAATTAAAAAAAGGTGTTGGAAAAGCTTAAAGAATTGAAACGCAGTGAAAGGCACAACAACAGCGTCAAACAGGCCTTAATTGATTAAATTACATGTATTGTTTTGACTGATGCCTTCAGTTATCAATGCTCTTTGCAGTACCCTCTGCTCTATTTTACTCCACAAATCAATTCACCCTAAAATCAATGCCAAAACCTGTTAGGAAAGAATTAGGCTGGATGGATTCAGGTTGGTTATAAGGGAAAGTAATGTCCTGAACTGAGCAGTTGGCCATCACCTACTGGATGATTCAAAGGATGTAAATATTACAAGTGTTATGGTCCACAGAGTGTGCTTTTTATTATTTATTTATTTTTAGAAATGATAGGCTATTCACAACAGCCAGTGAGTTAT